GGATGAAGGGGGGGGGGGGACACCTAGGGTACTCAAGGTCACGCGCAAGGAGAATTCGATTAAGACGAAAGGGTAAACAAATAAACGCCGAAATAATGGAAGAGGACACAACTTCGCTACTAACAGGGTGTCCAGTATTTTTTAATTTTGAAAAATCTTGACATTTCACTGATTTTTCCTGATATTTTGTAAAAAAATTCCTGATTTTTTCATTTCGAAAATTCCTGATACTTTCCTGATTTTTCTCGACTCCTGGCACGGTAGGCAAAAAGCAGTAAGACTTTCTCCGCTGAGGAGATTCGCGTAAGAAAAATTCCTGATAAAGCGTCCATTTTTTCCGATTTTCCTAATATTTTCCTGATTTTTTCCTGATCGACCAAAATTCCTGATATTTTCTGGTTTTTCCGGTTTTTCCTGATGCTAGACACCCTGACTAAAAAAAAAAAGTTACGGGCTACGCAGAAAAAATTCAATTGCTGATTTAACGATTCAATTGTTAAAACAAAATGACTGCAATGTTTCAATGTAGATTTTACGACAAAAAATGCTACTTCCACCACCCTCGTGGGTACATTAGCTTACAATAGTGGTTAAAGTAGCATTTTCTTGTTGTAAAATCTACGTTGAAACGTCGCTGTCCCTTTTAATGTGGCAATAAAATTGTTAAATCAGAAATTTAATTTTTTCTGTGTATATAGACATAACGTCCGTTCCGGGCTCAGAGGCCGAAAGTTCCGGGTGCTGAAATCGTAGCCTCGATTGCTCCGGGGGTGCTACGCCCCGGAACTTTTGGTCTCTGAGTCCGAGACGCGGACGATATGTCTGTATACTCCGTAAGTACGGATTCTAGGGCCGGAGTTTTTTTTTTCAGTATACGTTTTATTTAATTTGTGCACTGAAAAAAAAGTAGTTAGCGTTGAGAACTAATTTGGTAAGTTCTCGCAGAGTAGAATCAAAATTAGGCTTCAGAACTAATTTATTGTACTGAAGCACCTATCAATTCGCTCCATACGCTGACTTGACTTTACTGTAGTGCGAATCAGAATTGGACAGCTTTATGCAATAAGGAACTAGGGTCAAATTTTCGATTTTTTTTTTATGATGAATTCCGTATCAGGAGGGTATTTACTTACTATTGAGAAAAAGAAAATCCTCAAAAACAATTTTTATCCCGCTTCAGCGACCCCGCAAAAATTTGCCGTCGCAGGATCACGCGAAGTTCATTTTGCAATTGGGACCTATACTATGGTTCCCTATTGCGTAATGCGAAACTCGGATTTCCCATTTTGCAATTCGGAACTATAGACAGGACGGCATA